TTGCTACTATAGGTATTACGTTTTTATCTTCTTTGGTGAATTGTGTTTTCCTTTCTTTTCGTGTCTTGCACTTTAGCCCTTCTCTTCTAATTCAATCCTTCCTAGTCCTCAAAATTGTCTTCTCTGACAGAGATTTATGAGAATAAGGTTGAATTTATCGTTGTTTAGGTGGAACAAGCTTTTTTACACCCTTCAAGTTTTATTAGCTTGATGATATGTTTAACCAGGGTGTGAATTGGTTACTACCCTGAAATTTCGAAGGGAACTTTAACTCAACCTAAATTATACCTAATATCAGGTTTATTTTGCAGAAGAAGCCTGGTTATGTTTTACACGTTCAACAGTTGTACAGGGTTCTTCCTACTGATAGTTTGTTGACAGCTTAACACAAGTTTTGAAGTAAAAAAACCAAACAAAAGTAGAATAGTTTGCTGAACTTTGGGAAATATGGGAGGGAAAAGGGTTCTTCCTACTGAAGTAAAAAACCAAACACAAGTTTTGAAGTAAAAAACCAAACAAAAGTAGAATAGTTTGCTGAACTTTGGGAAATATGGGAGGGAAAAGGAGTATAACCTATCTGAATATTTTACAGATCCAACTCTGGTGTGGAGATGCTGAAATTCAGGAAAATGACTAGAAAAAACGGTAGTAGTTCACCAGAAAGAAGAAAACAGAAACTTGCACATACTCCTGCTGGAAGCTTTGCTGCTACAACTTTGAAGCGCCCCGTTTCAGGGAGTTTCCCCGGCTGGGATTGTGTATGAACAGGTAAAAAGCTTTTACTCTGGTCATCAATTTTACATGTTTGACTAAGATTATAAGTAGCTTTTTTGGGGCTTATTTCGTTACTGCTCTTGATATTGCCTGGTGGAACCTAAATGGGAAGGTTCCAGTTATATTTAAACCAGTTTCAAGAAAACAAGGAAACATCACTCAATGCCTAGTTGATCGATTTTTGGAAATTCTACTTAATATGAACACCATTTTAAGTACTTTATCGGGATTCATATATTCAATCTCGAGTTTACTAGAAATATAAAATTCTCAAAAGTGTTCCAAGCAAAAGAAGTCATAAAAGATTATTTGACTTAAAGATAGATTTGATTGTTTAGTAAATATTGGTTCAAATCCTGAGAAGTAATAAAGATTATCAAGAATTTATCATCTCATTCGGTAATTGGAACAAAACTTGATTTTTTACAATGAATTCGACCCCTTTGATCCTTGACCCTTTGCCTTTTCCAGGTCGATGCCCTGTCCAATTTTCAAATAATTGTACTGACAATGTTAATGGGTATGCCTTTAGGTTAGGTTATTTCAAATAGTTGTGACTATGTTAATGTATTGTGACCCAAAATTGTAAATATAATTGAGCAATGACAGGAGAAAAATCTCACCCGGCCGTATCCGTTTTTCAAAGATGTTGATTATTATGACTTTAGGTTGGTATATTGTGGCTGGAAAGCTTGCTTGTGTGACAAACATGATATTATGATAAATAGTTGAAATTGTGACCTGTATTTTGAAAATATGGCTTACGAATTTTTTAGCCTTATATCTTCTTGGATGAGATATTGTTGATTTGTGGGTGGGATTTTTTGATTTGGGCAATTCTGAATGGCTTGAAGTTAGGGTACATTTGAGATAATAATGGTATCTGGGATCTATAAGATAGTAATTAAAATATTTAAAAAAAAAAATTGGATTCTATAAGATAGCAATTAAAATATAACAATTAGAAAATTCAGTTTATTAAAATTATTTTGTTTTGATAATACCTGATTTTTCATTATAGAAAAAGAAATGTTAGCTATGCATAATTTTCTCACCCAAAATTTCCCTTGACTAAATTGCCTACGGAAGACTTTCGCCCCTCTAAAAGGGTCCAATTTCTTGACCCATCAGAGTAACACCAAATTCTCCAGAGCAGGCCTGGCAGTGCAAAAGCTCTC